CCATTGGCCCAGTAAATTCCTTAATCGTTATCCCAGTAGTGGACTGACATTTGGGGACTGGGGTGGATATTTTATGGTCTGACTGTTTGACACATGTTGGCATCTTCATCATCTGATAAAAGGAAATTTTCTTCAATGGTCTTGTGTGCATGTGCACAAATAAATTGATCAATCCAAATATAAAATTTTATGATTTTTAAAATAAAATTATTGGTACTATAGTAATATCTTAATTGATATCTTTTGTATTGATACAGTTTAATTGCATTTAGTTAAGATGAAGCTCCATTGTAATGGGTGTGTGATATTTTATGCTCAGCAGGTTCAATTCATTTTTCCTCAGGTAAACCATGAAAGTTTCAGCACTGTTCAATTCATATGTAAAACACACCTGTATTATATCATTAATTAATCTAGTGCTGGGGGTTCTTCTCTGTCAGATTTTTAAAGATTTTTCAAAGTTTGGGAGGAACAAAATCAATAGGCCAAAGATAAAATTAAAGCATTGAAAGGCATTTGGGGATGTCTCAGAGTTTATCTTCAGATAATGGCTTAATGCCTCTTTATTAGGATTAGGGGAGTTATATTTTGGACCAAGTACCCTTGGCAGCTAGGATCAAGGTGTTATACTGCCAAAATAATCATCTCTTGCTTGTCAAGGATCAGCATTACAACAGTTTTAAGGATAAGTTAGTGAAGATGTGCAAACAGTTGATAATGCCTGCTGGGAAATCCCATAATGCTCATTAAATCTGGGTCTGCAGGAGTGACTGACAGACAAATCTTCAATGTCAGCAGAATTCTGGACTTTTGTCTTTGATCTCTTCCAGAAAAAAGAAGAACTCTCCAAATAAAGGAGTCACATTTAGTTTGGTTTATGGTTGCTGTTGTCAATTTATGATAATTTTTGCCTGAATTTGACAGAACTGGCTAAATGTTAACAAGGGGCACTTTTATTGGTCGTGATTTATGAGAAAACATGCAGCCAGGTGAGAAAAAGCATTGTTATGATGTAACCAATGTACAGCAGTGATTGTACTGACACTTATAGTGCTGGTTAGGCTATAGCCTTCAGGTGTACCCAGGTAACCATTAAAAAGTTCATAAATCTCTCTATACTTATCAATCCAAATTGTCAAAGATTTTATCTAATAAAATGTCTATTAATAATCAATTCTCTGAGATTGAAGACAACAGTCTCACTTTGACCATTCAGTCCACAGCTAAACAGGTGTGAAGTTATTTCTGTGGCGTCATTCTGTCTTTGGATTTTTCTTTGTGGTGCCTTATTTCTTTTAGATTGATCTGGTGAGTTAATTATATCTGCATGCTCTTGCATCATTATATCGTTTATTTTTGCTTATCATGTGAAATAGTGAGAGCTTTTTCCTTCTCTGTACAGACTAGTTAAGAGTAAGACACATTGAGCGTGATCTTCTATATCGTCCACTGATCACAAGGTTTGGGTAATTTTTTTTGTTTCCTTCTCGATCATCATCAGTCACTTCATCCAAGACTAAGGCTGATTACACCTCAGTAAGCTCTCTGTTGGTCTTCTAAACCCACCACCATTTGTCATCACATAAAAAACTAGTTCCCCTTGCAAAGCTTACGCATTGTTTAAAAAAATGTTTTAATGTAATTTTCTTATGGATTGTTTGGACTTATGTAAGTCAAAGTATTCATTTAACAGTATCAGATTTATATTCATTAAATTTTTTTTATCAATATGAATTCTTCAAGAGATAAGACTTTATTTTACAAGTTTTAGCACAAAAGTGTACTTTTATAATTATCACTATATCATATGAATCCTATTTATTATACACTTGTCAACATTTTGAATGCATAAGATTAGATGAGTTAATCTTAATTTATAATGACACTTCAGTTGGCCAATATTTAATTAATTTTCTAGAAATCAAATTTACATGGCTTACAAGATAGCATGTTGTATTAACAAGTCATGTCTTAGCACCCCTGGTCATTGTGTGTACCTAAGCTAATGATAAGTCTGTTTATACTAAATATTACATGATTCCATGGAAAACACAGAAATCACAGTTTTGCCACCCTTCTGAATGCCGTCTAGATAAAAGCCATACAGTTGGACACCTTAATTCTATTTGATAAAGTCTAGCATAGAAGAGTCGCTACGCAGGGGTGCGGGACATTTACCTGTAATTTTTAATCACCTATTGGTGGGTCTATTAAGACCAGTGTGTCTAAGTGAGTACTCTGATGAGGTGATAATCTCCCTTTGTTGTGTTAGATCACCCCTATTGTGCCATCAATGACCCTTGATCTTGTGTCTGTAGGTAGATGTTAAGAGTGAAGGGAAAGTTGGATACTGCATGGGTACATAGGATTCCACAGAATTGTCTCAAGTGCTGATTCAAGAGGCTGTATTTATCATATCCTGGTGAGTTTGCTGTTTTAGCTTTTATTAAGGAGATTTGGTGTGTGTGTGTGTGGGGGGGGGGGGGGAGTATGCACATGATGTATAGATTTAAGTTTTGATTATTTCTTTCTTCAGCTGTGCCAACTGTATTGCAAAAGTAAATGTGCTACAGTAACATGTATGTGGTTCCTAGTATTGTTTTTTTAAGATGTTGTTATATAATCTAGGCCTCTTTAATCATGTAATGTATACATGCTTTTAAGTGTTTATTGATGTAAAAATTAATATAATTGCTGCTCAAAAGCATACTCTATGAATGTCAGTTGATAAATTACGTAACTCCGCAGATGTTGGTGCTAATGGCAATTTTACTTCATTTTCTGTTGCTATGGTTTTGTTTTTAGTTGAAGTTTATGCAACCAATGAACATTACACTAAAACTATAGAGATTAATTATTAAAAATTTCGCCTATAATTGTTTTAGTAAAGGGATTCATGACATATTTGTCGGAGCTCACAGGACATATTTTGTAATTATGTCTCGAGTCGCTCCACCAAGTGTCTCTCAATTAGCGCTTGCCCAACTAGAATAGCTGCTAATGGATGCAGCATGACGCATCCAAGCCCGTACCAATAACAACATAATAGCTAAGAAAAAGTAGATCAAGGTTTATTTTTAAAAAAAAAAACAAATATACATGCATCTTGCATAATTCTGATGCTTGGACAATGTTCATGGACATTGTTAAAATTGCAGGGGAAAAAATCACACTATATACATACAACCATACCATTTTTGAACCACCTTGTATTTTGACTATACCTATAGTGCCCAGTTGATTAATCCTTTGTATTGGTCATTTATTTGACTGTCTGTGATATGGGTTTTTAGCAGGTATGGGAAATGCCTGTTGTTGACCTGTTAAACAGCTTGTTTGAGCAGCTGATTCAGACATTTGTCACATTTAATGAGAACGTTTGTGTTAAGGATCTACCCCTTGTCATCAGTAAACACCCTATTATCACTCTCTGATCCCCCCAAAACCAAGGGAGGCAATGCCTTTCATGTAGTCTCTGTAATTAGATGGATCTGTTAAGGACTAGTCAGTGCATGGATTACTTCCCCTTACCTGATTAGGGAGATTTAGATTTTAAAAGAGGGAGAGAGAATTAGCATACTCAGACAGTACAAAGATTCTTTATGCTGAAGCCACATTGATTTGTTTACTCTATTTGTGAACACTAACCTGTGAAGTAAATACATTGTATTGCACATTTGTGCCCAAATACTTTTTTGGTGGAAATGATTAATATCCTTTATTTACAACAGAAAACTGAACATTTTTAGTGAAAATGATATATCTATATGCAACAATCTGTATATATTCAGCATATAATTGCTAGGACAGAGTATTGCATGCTTTAGAAATATAATGGAGTTGATTTCATGCCCTGCTAAACCCCTATCTATTTCATTTTATGGTTGCAAGTTTTTGAATTAATTTTGCATTAATTTAAGATTATAATCCATTGCTCTTTATCACATTTCTCTGGACTCACCTGCGTTATAACAACATATTTGATTTCATTGTAACAGACCCTCAAGGTTCTTTCCATGTACAGCACAAGTTTTATGTAAAAAATAAATTGGAATTGTCATATGCATGATAAAAATAGTTTATTTTCGTTGATAAATTTCTTAATAATCATTGAAGTTGGTACAACTCTGAACTGTAATTAAGATAAGAATCAGAAATATTTTAAAAATTTGATGTTGTAAATTATAGTTGCATTAATGTCTTTCTCTCTCTAAAAAAAATAAACAAATGAAAAAAAAAAAACTAAAGGAAAAAAAAGTTTTATAGATGCTAATGCAAGATATTTCTAATAAGTATCTTCTCACAAACTTCCTAAATTTTGCACTGACCATTTTTACACTTAGTTCTATTTTGTTTTAAATTTAAACTTTAATTCTGTAAATAATTAATACTTATAGATAGGTATGGAGATAAGATTAGGGGGGCTATAGATATACTGATAGATAGAGAGATTTGGAGATGATAGACAATGATAGAGAGATAGACATGTTGATTACCAGACTGTTAACAGCTGATGCCATGTTTAGCTGTCAGTCAATAACGGCCCTGCCATCTATTGGTGTGAACTGGCTGGATATCCCCCTCATTTACATATATTAGGCTGATTTATTGGACAATTATATATTTTTGTAATAAAATTTGTTAGTTTCTAGTTATTATTTTTTAATTACATGCAATATTCTTCAATATATTTTATATGTGACAAGGAAAAATTAATTAAAAGAAAAGGAAAGCATTGTTGATATAATTAAAAAACATCTTGTAAGATTTGTTTTAAATAAATTTAAGAAATTCGTTTTTTTTTAACTGCATTTTTTTACTGCATTTTTAAGAAAAATTAACTAAAAGCAAATAACTTTTTTTTTATTTTCCTTGAAAATATCTTTACTTTAATTCTCTTTTAAGAACCTATAAGCTTGACTCATTATAATACTGGAAAGTCCTATTCTTATTATCACATTAGCAGTTACATCAACTTGTGGCCTTTTCTCATTGTTCGGTGGTGTTGACGATTTTATTAAGGTGGTCACAAACAAGCTTGTGTATCACAGCTCTGCTGACATCCCGGCTAACTCGTTGTCTGTGACAGAGTAGGCAGTCCCAGTTCACTCATCCGCGACGCTGCGAGCAGTCAGCTTTATCAAAGAGTCAGAACAACAGTGTGCTGGAATGGTCAGGAAAACGGGGTTCCTTTTAGGATGTGTCAACTCTACAGTGTAATAAGGGAAATATTTAAGTTGTCTTAACGGCTTAGTGGGTATATTTGTTGGTGAGATTATCAGCTGCTTTAACTCTGAAGATGGACAATGGCTACATCATTGATTTCTTGCCTAATGTAACCTTAGAATTTCCAAATGGAGAAGTAATTGAAAATTTGTGTTGACATACAAGAGGAAGTCTGAATTTTTAACAGTGTCTGGTTTGTTTGTTGTAAAGGAAGCTAAGCTGTAGATAAATAAAGCCACGATATTGGTGCAATAATATAAACATCAGTATACAGGCTGACCCTTTAATATTTCATGATTCTTCTCTGGACAGTTTAATAAAATTTTTCATTCTGGATTTAGTGTTTTACAAGAAGGTGAGGAATATTTGTCTTTTTGTGTAATAATTATTTAAAAAAGTCCATATTCAAGGCATATACATTAGTTAAGTGTATATCACAATTATTATAGTATTCAATTTTTATTACAAACAAATTAATTTAAAAAAAGAAGAAAAAAGAATCCTTGAAAAATATGAAATACAGTATTATAAACACCCTTTTCTTACAATTTATGTATAATATATTGCTTGGTTTCTCCCTAAAAACTGTAATTAATTAATCTGTGGTTAATTTTTACAATTTTTGATAAATATGATATATTTACGATGTGTGTAAAAAAAAATTCTCTGAGTCTGATTGATTGAACAATTTGACATTTTATTACCTCTTAATGACACAAACATTGACAAATCAAAAATGATAGAATTTCAGACAAATCATGAGATATGAAAATAAAAAGTCTTTTTTTTTCCTAATTACCCCGGTAATAATTTTATGTTTAATAAATTTATTTTGTTTAAAGAGTGTAAATCATAGAATACATGTACAAAATGAAAATGACTTTCTATCGGGATGTAAAATGCTGTTTTATTAAGTGAGTAAATATTAACTCCAAAGGAAAACCCAAATAAATTATGGGTATCCTCACAACGGTTCAGCATGTATAAGTGTTTTTACCACATTTGTTTTGGAGTGGAGGTGTGCTTCACCAGGCTAGGTGTAATATCGGGTGGTCAGGTGCAATCAAGTCTTTGAAGTGATGAATGCATTTCTAATAAAGTAACTTCTCGTAAATCAGAAACATAGTAAATTTTCTTAATTCAACAAGGTGTCCACAAAATGAAAGTGACATTAAAAGACTTTAAATGAGCTGGTTGTAAACTCATTCCTATTATTTAGGCCACAGATCCTTATCACGCTTTTCAATATTTTTTTTTAACTCGGGCAGATTTCTGTAAACTTTAATAATTATACTCTCTCGTGTGCTATGTTGAATGAAAAACTTCATTACAAGATTTAATTTATTTCGGAGACAATTAATATTTTCTCTTCGCAATGTAATTAAAAATGGAAATATTAATTTTTTTCTGCATATATGAATTCCATTTCACTTGGTATCTTACGAGGGAGAAAAACAATATTGTTTGATATTTGGTAAATAGAGATATTTAATTGAAAGTTTTTCTTGTTCTTATGAAATAACAGGTGTTGGTAAGAATGAAACAGTTCTCAGGAAAAAAATCATAATGCCGCTTTTATATTTATCCCTGAAACATTTGTCCTGTGGTGGTTTGTTCTCACTGTCAAAATTTTATAACTTAATCCAGATTTATGAAACATAAATGCATTAATGGTTTTAATTTGTTTCTCTTTCATTGCTCAGGTAGAGATATAAAGGAGCCATTGGTAACCCAGCGTGGAGGAAATGACCAGAGACCCCGCCTTTTGTGAAGGATAAACACAATCTACCATGGCCGTTCTTTTCCTACTGAGTGCTTTATCCTTTTTCGTGACTTCTTCTGCAGAAACTGTTGCGGATTTTACTGTGAACGAACAGGAACCCCCAGGGAATAAGATTGGGAATATCCCCGTAAGAAGTAATCTTGTCCAAAAGGCAAATCTCTCCTCCGAAGTCTTTAGCAGAATGAGATACACTTTTCTCCAGCCTGATAATGAATATAAAACCGTATTTAGCATCAACGAAATCACTGGTGATCTTTTTGCATCAAAAACCATCGACAGAGAAGAGCTTCAGACCTGTAGAGGTTCTACCCGATGTGTTTTAAAATTTGATGTGGCTGCAAGTGAACAAGGAGGGGGAGAATTTCAAGTTATAACAGTGAATGTTAACGTCAAGGATATCAATGACAATGCACCACAATTCTCAGTACCCGTATTTACAGTCAACGTATCAGAAAACTCGAATGTTGGCCATCAAGAACAGCTTCCTTCTGCTGTGGACCTAGATACTGGTGTAAACAATGGCATACAGAGCTACGAAATCTTCCCTGCCAATGGAACATTTGGGCTTAATACTACCAAAAAGATGGATGGGGGCTTTGATGTGAAGCTACAGTTACTGGAGAAACTAGACAGGGAAAAAACAGCAAAGTATATTCTTCAGATTTTTGCAAAAGATGGTGGCACTGAAATGAACACTGGGAAACTGCAAGTTGATGTTATTGTTTTGGATGAAAATGATAATTCTCCAGTGTTTGGTGAATCTGTTTACAATAAGACTGTGAGTGAGAATACGGAGCCTGGGACTACCATCTTGAGTGTGACCGCCTCAGACATAGACAGTGGGGCCAATGGAGAGGTGGGGTACTTGATCAGCAATCAAGCCTACAGCGATGTTTTCTCCATCAATACACGGACTGGAGACATCACTCTACTCAAAAAACTGGTGTACGAGCCGAATGAGATCTACTCCTTTTTCGTTGAAGCAAGAGACAAAGGAACCATTTCAAAGTATGCCCAGGTCAAGGTCAATATTCAGATAGAAGATGCTGGGAACAACCCTCCCATGGTCAAGGTCAATTTGGTGTCAGGAAGTGGTGGGGTTGTTCCTATTTCTGAACTGATCAACATTGATGCATTTGTGGCACACGTCAGTGTTGAGGATTCAGACAATGGTAAAAATGGTGAAGTTCAGTGTTCAATCTCTTCCTCTTATTTTGGAATAGAGCCTTTGTCCAGTAAAGGCTACAAGGTTGTGGTGAAAAGAAAACTGGACAGAGAAACAGCCAGTCAACATAATATTACTGTGACATGCCAGGACAATGGAGACCCACGCCTCCAGTCGTCCAAGAGTTTCATTGTAAGAGTTGTAGATGAAAATGACAATAAACCCATGTTTTCCCAACCTGTTTACTTTGCAAGCATAGAAGAGAACAATGCGAAAGGGGTGACTGTCACCAAGGTGTCAGCAACTGATGATGATGTGGGACTGAACTCACAGATTCAGTATGTTCTTCACAGCGATGCGGGCTCCTCTTTCAGTATTAACCGTATTACGGGTGTCATTAATGCTACAGGAGTTCTGGACAGGGAGAGTACTAGTGATTATTTGTTCCGCGTCCTCGCAGTGGACAGTGGTGTTCCTCCAAAAACCGGCACCGCAACTGTTATTGTTAACATTACGGACATCAACGACAATAAACCAAGGTTTACCGAGTCCCTGTTCACGTTTGAAGTCAGTGAGGAGAGTGAGCGGCATACTCCTGTTGGTACTGTTGTAGCCCGTGATCCAGACTTGGGACTGAATGCCTTTTTGCAGTATTCTATGTCTCCACAGGATATTAATGTTCCCTTTGAGGTTTTACGTAATGGAACTGTGATCACCAGTACAACATTGGACAGAGAGTTTCTGAGTCAGTACAACTTCATGGTGTATGTCCAGGATAGTGGTAAACCATCTCTGAACAGTTCAGCTTATGTAACTGTGTACGTAATGGATGCCAATGACAATACACCCATTATTCTGTTCCCAAACAAAATGAACAACACTGTCTCTTCCACCGTCACCTCCCTTCCGATCACAAAAATAATAGCGGAAGACAAGGACGAAGGCATCAACAGACAGCTCACCTACTTCATACAGAACGGAAATGAAAAAGTCATGTTTAACCTTCACTCTCAGACAGGCGAACTCTTTCTGAATCGGGATTACCACTTCAAGACAGATCAGTCCGTCAGCCTCACTATCTGTGTCAGAGATTCTGGGCTTCCCGCAAAAACGGCATGTACCCAACTGAATGTTGAAGTCACAATAAACAATGTTACCATAGCAACTCAAACACCAGAATCCGACAATAAATACATCTACATTTCTATCGGTGTTATCATCTTCACCATCATCATCTCCGTCGCTATTGTCATCGTCATACTGGTCATCAGGAAGAAGGACATTGAGCGCAAGAAATACAAGGCCACCCCTGGTCCTCTGGGGGTCCCCATGCAGAACGGGTACTCCCCCGCCGGTACATCCAATGTGCCCAGTGCCCCTCCTGAGGAGGAATACATGGAGAGGAAGAAAGTGACGTTTAATCCCGGGACTCACAGCGAGGGGCATCTAAATAATCCCAACAATAACTACACTTCTAACATCACACAAAATGTAAGTCATCTCTTGGTAATATTCCACAGCTGTGCTTGTTTAACTAATTTATCATAATATAATAATACAAAATATATCCATTTAATGGATACTGATGTGCAATATTTTTTTTTTAATCAAGTGGTCTAAAATTCATTTAAAATGCTTGAAGTTTAAACATTATTTCATTTAAAAATCTTCTTATTTTTTATTACAAGCAAACTTTGGGAACCATGATATCAAACAGGTTAATATAAAATTTACACAGTTGTATCTTAATAAAATGCATTTGGACTTGTAAATGACTTTAATTTGAAAGTCAAATGTAATTAGCTAACGCCATGATTTACGTAAATAGACTGAATCATTTTTAAACCCAGTATAAAACACCTTGTAATTTTTTATGCCTGGCGTGACCAAAGCTTAACTGAAACACCACCAGAGTCAGTATCCTAACCTCAGATCTAATATTAATAACTCATCTTACTGGATAAACCAGCATGAGGGGAAATTTTTTTAATATTATAATAAAGTCAAATGTCAGGTATCTAAAGTTGCAGCTCACACAATGGTAAGGGTCTGTCCTTGTATCTGGGATACCAATCTCTGAAAAATGTAACGTGCATGTCACTACACAAAAATCTGGATATAAAGGCCGTCAACAGGAGAAAAATATGTTAGATGTCAAAAATGGTGTCATAATGGACCCATATTTCTCCAGAAAGTGATAAACATTCTGACCTCAGGCTACTTGTCACCAAAATCTTTTTTTAATAACTTTATTTACGGACTACTATATAGGACTACTATGGCCAAAAAGGAATTTGGTGCACAGTAAACAATGCACTCTTTTTTTATGCAGAAACTAGCAAAGTGAAAAATCACATTTTTTATGAGTCATCGAGGCTGCTAAATTATTGAAAGGGCAGTCTCATTATTTTTCATTATAAATTACATAATTTTTTTTTTGCTGTTAAATGGGATTTTATCCATTATTACCCTCATTATATGACTTTACATTAACTTGTAAATGCCTGCTCTTTCTAGATGCAGAAGTTTTATCATAATTACAGTCATTCTCATTTTGGGATCCTAAAACGATTTCAGTGGATATTTTTTCAATAGGTCCACTGATAGTTAAGATGGCTTTCGGCATCCATTTTTGATTCATCCTAAATCTTCTTATTATGAAATTAGTCTGACCTTTGGGAGGGTGGATTTAAAGAAGGATATTGGATCTTATCTTCATTTCGGAATCATCCAGACAATACAGGGATTTTTTATATTTATCCCTCTTTGATAAAAATTTATTTTATGCCTGAAGACAGACAAGCCATGATTTTGTGGGTGTATCTGGGTATTGAATCAGTGCAGATTATTGGTTCAGGTCTCGGGAGGTCCGCACTGTCTCATTTTCATTGGAGAGCGTTAGTGCATCTCCTGCATTTATGAACATTAATCATGGCTTATTTTGATAAATTGGGAATTTATTTTGTCACACCCTGTGCAATTACTGCAGATAGGGAAATATCCTTGCACAGAGACATGATAAATTTTCTATAAAATTGATATTTATTTTTCATATTCTGTTTATATTGATATTCAGTTAGCGTGAACATTTTTGTCAAACAAGATTTGTTATTTTTACTTTTGTAGTGAATCAAAACCTACAAAAATATTTTTATTGCTATAAAAATAAATGCATGGTGTTTAAATTTGTAAGATCCTTTTTGAACCAAAAACATTTGATATTTTGGGAGATTGTTTATGATTTTTGTCCTAACTTAACATTCAACCCAGAGGACTTAAGAACCTTGCGTAAAGAAAAATATATACCTAAAAAAATAATCATATTTCTGAGTAGGAAAATAAAGCATTTTGTTTGTGAAACTTGACAAATATTTTCCCTTTGGTTTTATTTAAACTGTTCTGGTCGTGTCATTATTTGTACTTTAGATTTGTGAAGTTTTCTTTAAGGTTTAAAACTTATTTAAGGATGTGGTCTTTCATTTAAACAGAGCGTTTTCCATGTGGGACAAGTTCAAAGCAAACACATATCATTTTCTCATTTTTCAATAAGAGACAGACAAATTTAAAGTCATTTTCCTTTTATCAAAACTTTTCGGCTAGATCTTTAATTCAATCGGAGAAAATTTGAACATGCACTGAACATTTTGTGGTTATTAAATCTGCGTTATTTTCTTTTTATAAAATGATGACAAGATATTAAATGATTTATAATTTCTTGTCAAATAATTATTTCCAATTATTTGCCTTTTTACTAGTTTATACCTTATTGATTGAAAAAGAATAAATTTCCATGGACTTTTTCACCTATGACTATATCCAAATTGAATATTTTTCAACAGATAATAGCAATAATTTTCACTAAAATTGTCAAAGATTGGTAGGAATTGTATAGAAATTTATTTGGATTTTCCACTTAGTTTTATTTTTAAAGACTTTTAATTTATATATCTAAAGGGGTAATGAATGTAATTTGGGGTAAATTTAATTCTATAGACTATTTATTTTTTTTCCTTTCAGAATTTATATGACAAGCCACCATCCTATTCCTCCTTGAAATCTGATTCAAAAATCGAAGCCATGAACGCCTTAAAACTTCAGCAAATTTTACTGAAAAAAGACAACCAGGTGAGACAGAAATGCAATAAAAAATATTTAAGAAAATTTTATTTTAGAAACAATCTCAATTTTTGTGAGGCTTTTTCTTTCATATTTTGAGTGTTGAACTTAAGCTGATCGTACAAGTTCACACAAATTTCCGAATATTCAAATCATAATTGAAAGAAAAAATTTTTTTTTCTGCATATATTTGAATCATAATGAATATTTTAAGCATTATTACTGCAATACTCCCATAACAACTGATGACAACACTAGCACAAAGACAAACAGATGATTATATTGTCTATGCAGCTGTCACAAATCTTCCCCCAGAAAAACTGAAAAACAACAAAAATGGAGCTCTAAATTACACCAATCAATAATTCAGCTGTACCAAGTTCTACACACCACTAACATTGATTGTCTCATCAGTATCATTTTCATAAATTGTCATACCTCTAAATAGTTGTTTTAATACAACAAAGCAAAGAGCTGGTACAGGGATAGAAAGGGATGTTATCAATAAATGGCAGCATTGCAGCCCGTGTTCTGAAAATTGTCATAATATCAGACATAAAATTGATATTCTAATATGATATATGTGTAAAGTTTCCAGAAATATGATTTTGCTATTTTTAGGTTGCTTCCCCTGGTAGAGTGCACCCTAGTGACAGTAACAGTGACACATCAGGGGAGACCATCCCGTCAGATAGTGGGAGGGGAGGCAGTGAGGATGATAATCCCAGTACTGCACATACAGCAGGTAATTCAAAATACACCACTGAAGTCTGACAGTTTAATTTTCATGTTTTATGTAATTAAAAGAAGATTAAGAAATACAGCCAAGAACAGATTTCATTGAAAACTTAATTTGTGTCTCATACTGGTTAATTTTATTCATTTTCTCCTCTATTTTTTCAGATGATTCCAGATCATTCGATTTTTACAACAACCAATCCATGTCTCCCATTTCCTTCATGTCATCACTGCCGAAGAAAGACAGTAAACCCCCCAGACCACCTCCTTGCAGCATACCCAGCAGCAGTGAAAAAAGACACTCAGCTGTTCCCTTTACTAGTGCTCATAATATGCCATATACTCCCATCTCATATAAATCCCAACTCTCTGATCCCTGGGACTATAGGAACTCCAACTATTACCACAGTGTTCACAAAGACTATTTTAATCTTGGAGGAGGTAGCATCATCAGCACCACAAAATCCCGCGAGGATGACGATGATGCTGCCACCACCACATCAGGCAGCTACACAATCAATCCAGAAGAGCTGGATGAGGATCTCAACTTCAGATGTTCCAATGACTTTGTTGTGTAGGAGTGGGATTTTATATCCAGACATTGGGATTTACAGTGCTATAAAGCTTTATTGTGAAGTATTTTGTACTGAATTCACACAAATCATACTCATCATACTTTCCAGAGTGTAGTTAGAATAATTTGTATAGGGCTCCCACATAACCATTCCATGTGTGAAATAATTTGTCCGTATATGGAAGAGAAAATGTATCGGAAGAGATTACATGTATGAAACAAATGTCTGTTGCCATAAATATTTTTTTCACTACAGTATTATATGTTTTTGACACAAATTATTGTGGAGATGTAAAAATACATTCATACAAAATCTACAACATTTATGCAGCTTTATTTACTTTGCATAATTAATGCTATAATTGTCAATACTTGCTGTTGGTTGCTGTTCACTTCAGCAATAATTCCTCCAATGTATAAAACATGCATGTACATGTATTTGTTCTTTGAGGACATTTATGGAGAATATGGGTATAAGCTTTACTGGAGGCAACCTTGTTTCCTGTTTTTATTTTTGTTATGCTGAGTTAAAATTGAAGTACATTATTTTACATGTTATATATTAAACATAATAATAAAACAAATATAAATGAATTATGCTTGTCAAGTTGTTATATTTTTGGGGGGGAAATGCATTGAAAAATCAGAATACTATGCAGTCAGTGGGAAAGGATTGTCCCTCATTTGTTGATAAAATAAAAAAAAATATTTAAAAAAAAATATATTATAATAATTAAACTCTTTAATTTTAAACACTTAAACATTAAGTTAATTATCTCCACATTTAGTCAGTTTTGCTGAATTTATGCTTTGATTTGCCATTTAGCTTTAGTTGTTTTTGCCTCCAAGTAATATCTGATTCTACTGCATAAAATATTTTACAAAAACATTTAATTTGGCAGATAGAATTGAATTTGCATAAAGATTTATATACTTTAAAATCTATATTCAAAGACGTTGACGTAGAGAAACGAAACGACATGTCCTTTAAGAAAGTAAGACCCTTGTTCCACATAGTTAATGATGCTTTATACTATACAGTGTATTGAAAGAAACAGTTTAGTAGAACATGCAGATCAAATGAATTAATTATATTTCATTGTCTTGATATGGTTACCTCATTTGACATTACACAATGTCTTTTGCATTAAAATAGATGCATTAATTAATGATACAACTGAATGTACACTAAATGCAATAAAAATATAATTTTTATCACTTGTATCTGGAATTGAATTTCAAAAATAAAAAATCATTTGAATGTTTTATCAATATAGACTTTAGAAACTACAGTGCGACCAGGGCCATCAGTACTCTACAATAATTCTTATTATCAAGGAGGTGCGATTCAGTGCAATTTTTTTTCTCTAAAAATGTTTTCAATAGAGTGATTAAATTTAAAGGAAGACAGGTTGTTTTGCAATAAAAGCTACTATTTGGGGCCAATATATCTTTGTTATTTGAGTGAATTAATAGTTTCACTCTCGCTGGAGTATGTACTTGAGCTGTATCGAGTTTAGATGAAAGCTGAGTTTGCACGTGAAGAGCTCGGTGTCCCCTCACCAATCATAACCTTACAATGGCGAGTTTTCTGGAGTATGTGTCTATCCCAAGTAAGTCAACATTATTCTTGATCCTGAGAACTTTGCATTAATTTGTAACAATGATCAGGATCAATTTTGGTGTAACACCGGTACAAAGGAAGCAATATTTAAAGTTCTTCAATAACGGGGGTTTTACCAAGGAACAATAGAAGGAGATGTAAATAATGTGTCAACCCCGTAAGGGGGCGTAACCCTGCACGGTGACGACAAACAAACAAGTGTGATTTTGACTAGAAAGAAATCTCCTGAAGATTGTGTAATTTAAGCATATCTTTGTTATTTCCTTATGCAAATAATTTTGATATTTAGGATTTGTTAGAAAGAAGCTTACAATTGCAGTACAGGGATACAAATATTGAATCAGAAATAAATGGATTAAATATAACCCTGCATGGTTATTACTTGCAGAGTTTTACATACAGCGTATGTAGTAAAACGCGAACCTTACAAATTACAACACACTCTAAACACAGGCACTAGTACTTGGGGACTGGACCCCCTCCTCCTGGTTCATTTTTTATGCCCCCCCCCCGACCCTCGAAGAAAGGAGGGCGTACTGCTTGGCTGCTGTCTGTCGGTCTGTTGATCGGTCCACCATCAGTTTCCGTTCATTTTCTTTACAGAGGTTGCACACATTGAAATGTAATTTGGTATACAGATTTATCACAAGAATATGTAAGTCAAGTTCACAGGCACCTGTGACTCTTAATAGGGACATATGCAACGTACCTTACCTACTGATAATTTTTCAAGATATTCTGTATTTAACATTATACTACCCATACATGTTCTTAGACAAAAAAATCAGCATGCGTTACCAGGGGTTTTGAACGGATATCGAATGATGAAAATTCTTGCATTTTTCAAAGAAAAATTTACAAAAAGTACTAAACATAAATTCCAGATTTTTTTCATCCAAATTAGTTTAGGAAGAGGTGTACAACACCATATACATGTATAGCCATTAAAAGAATTTCACAGTCCTGGGTCTTTCACTTACTGGAACTCTTCAACTCCAGGGGAAAATCCAATAAAGTTCAAACTACATTGCCTATGACCTTAAACCTCCATGTTGGATCCAAATTATTTGAGGTTTAGAAATTATTGCAAATAACAGAATATTTATCATTGTTTTTAGCCCTCCCTTTTTCAGCCAGTAAGTTGGGTGAAATTTGACCCACGTGGTCTGAACTGAATATTAAAGGAACATTTCTAGACATTGCAGAAGTCGCTTGTTATTTTCTTTCGACTTTCTTGAATGTTATGGATATTAGTAATTCTAGATTTTAAATTTTATTTGATATTTTAAAAGAAAATTAGGTTTTATATCAGATAAAAAGGGAAGATTATCCGGGAGCATGATGCAGCAAGAATTTATGTCAGTTCGTATAAAGTTTCACGATATTTTTGGGCTCACAATACCGGGTATCAACCGTAAATGAAATAAAACGCAAGACGACACCAGTAGAGAAATTAAAACATTTCTCTTTCCTCCGATTATCCGATGTGTTTTTATCATAACTGAATTTAAGAAAATTGAATATGACAAAATAAGATGATTTAATTCGATCCCCTGAGAACTATTTTGCCATGGTCTTAAGGATGGTTTTCGAGTGAAATGCACCAATGTTGAAAGCTGACACTAGTCGGTGTGTTTTTGTTGTTTAGTGTTCTGGCTCGGAAAGCAGACAATGAATTATGATGAAGAGGGGTCGATATAGAACGCCCATCCCACACAAAAAGAAAACGATAATAAAAAAGTTAATGTTTGATTAATAGCGCAAAGAAAAGAAGACTATAAAAAGTAAACTGGTGTATGTCATATGATATATAACAAGACCGTAAGAAAACCGTTGGTGGAAATAAAAACTTACTGCAGATGAAAAAATACATTTAACATGCAATGTTCTTATTATGCCACAAAACCCTTTTTTTTTTAATTTCAACTTAACTGATCAAATAGCGCGATGATGTACTTGGTGGTGATAGGGTGGTGGAGGAGACAATTCATATCACCTTTTTAACCTCAAAATATCACACAGATAAAATTGAAATTTTTTAACCTTTTTCTGAGAAATTATCCCCATTACTTACAGACACTTAATTTTTTTTTTATCCTGGTTGGGGGGGGGGGGCATTGGTGATATTTTTTAGTGAAAGAGACATAACTCTTACATCATGTTAGTGTTTTAGTTTGTAGTTTTGAGGTTCATTCATACTCTGATAAGAGAGATAACTCTTAATGACTTAAGTTTCTCATTCTTTTATATATTTGTCAAGTTGAAGTGTCTTTTTTTTTTTGTCCAATTTTGCCCCGCAAGCTATGCTATATGATTGTATTTTGATAATAAAATACATTGCTTTTGGAAAATTATTAAGGTTTAAGCAACATTCTGTATGAGTGGGTAGAGGGTTTATGAACCTTAAAGACTAGATTGTTGAAGAAAATAAATGAAAAATAAAAATTGAATAAATATAAAAATAAAATTCCTACATACATATAACATTCAAAATAACTAGTTGAAATATTATTAAATTCTAACTAAATTCGTAAATTAAAAGTTATAGATTTATAATAGAAAGGGAAGCGCGAGTAAAAAAAAAAAGGAAAAAAAGATGTATTTGTGAAATACAGATGCCCCCCGTATTCATTTAAGGCTGCATTTATATGGTACTCACGTATCTCATAAAAATGAGATAAGGGTGACATGCTGTAACCTTGAAAAATAGAAGTTAACTTTTACTACTTACCTATTCAGGTCTCTTCGAGCCTTTCCGAACATATTCATATTAAGAGTTATCTCGCTGTCCTCGCGCTCATAAATGTACATATCAAGATGGGGTTATATGATTTATTGTGAACTTGGAAGAGTACCTCTTGAATTTTGCAGAAAAAAATGTTAATTTACTGATTAAAATTACAGAACAGTGACAATTTGGTGGATACTCTTATTTTGCAATCGTATAGATCTTTGTAAACCTTAATTTTTCTCAAAAAATATATAATTAAAACGTGTCTCCGGGGAATTTTAGATAATGATATACGTCTCGGAGATGAATTTCATTCTATACTTAAATGTCCAAAACATGACAAGTTGAAGGAAAATACATAGATCTAAAACTATATTTCCTCAAATTGTCATATTTTGGACATTTAAGTATAAAATGAAATTCATCATCTAATTCACCCGTAGAAAAAAAAAGATAACATTTTCTAAAATTCCTCGGTGTTCCTATGAGCACATTATTTAATTCGGGAAACGCATGTTCTATGTTTTGTGTGTTCTGTATTTTGTGGGTTCCAAGAGCAATATGAGGATGTGTACCCAAAAGCGTAATAGACGAACAGAAGTAGAGACAGACGGACGGAAGTATTTACACTCACACTTTTTAAGCGGGGGTTAAAAAAAGGAGATTGTATCATATGTCCTTAAAATTTTGTTAATGTGCAAAGTGAAAACAATACATCAGAACTTTTGAGGGAAAACTTCTTAAATGTTTATATTTTTTTCGTGGAGAAATGAATGACACTTCTTCTCTTAACATATCAACCGAATACTGGTCGAATTTCTTGATAAATAAATTATCTTTTCCAATAATTAACTGCGTTTACTGTTGAAAAGAATAGAAATTATACGCGGAATTCATCTGATAAATACATTTATTGAAGAATACAGTGACCTAGGATTAACCTATCATTATGATGAAGTTTATTTCAATGTTAATTTAACGGAATTAACTGCTATAATTTGTGAAACAGCACAAGAACAGACTGAATATGATCACGCAATCCCTATTAATAGAATTTCGTCAAAGATAGAAAGCACTACAAAATGAGTATTGCGACCGATGGGAAGCCAAAATGTAAAAGTTCTGTGCTTTTATATCAAAAATTGAATCTGTATGATAAAATGGAATCCTTAGAAGGTTTGACATGCTCGCACGCACTGGAAGGAGAACGTAACAACCCTCCGTTCATGTGCCTGATGAAGGAGATTGTACGGAAAACAGGTGCGACTTCTCAAAATTTTCAGATGTCAGTCTTCTACGAGCTATGTGGCAACTTTTTTTACACACTAACACTTGTGCAATTTTAAATGCACATTGAAATCGTGGTAAGGGGGGGGGGGGGGGTTGTGGGTTGTATGGGGTGGGGGCATTATACCGTTAATAAAAATTCATACTTGTATATTGTCATATGTTTCACTAAAACAATTGTTTTTAGTAAGCAGAAATTCTTTTTCCGCAAGAGGCAAGCATAGAAAACCTGCGATATTCCAAGAGCTCCTTGAAAGCCACTACTGTTAGAAAGCTTTTCATGCCCTGAGCCTTTGCATATAGACATATGAATATTTTTTAAAGTCACTTTTGTGTGTCTGAAGGATGAATGGTGAAATTCCCAGCACTAGAATTACTTGGTTCAAAGAACATCACAAAGTTCTGAATACCAGCACATCACAAATTTCTCATCCTCCTCTGAAACCTTAGATATCTGTACATACTGATATAAACAGAGCCATCACTGTTCTCTGTCAATGGGCCCTTAGGCAGGGAAGCTAAAAGCTGCAGTGTTTGACAGCGTGTAGGAGTCTGTGAATGAAGTAAAACAGTGCTCCCTGGCCATGAGAAAATCTAACATTAAATTAATAAATACACAGGAAAGTTTTATTCTTTATTGATATGTAATTTCTAAATTGCAAGCAATCTTCATATAAAAAGTTCATAAAAGAGATTTCATCAAAATTCCAGTCTGTATGTACAACTCATTCAGCAGTATATAATAACAAAAAAAAACATTGAGCATTACCACAAATATCAATCATATCATACAAATCTCATACATCCTTCACAACATACTGTAGCACCCAGCAATATGGCAGAATATTGAACAGAATTTTCATGACAATATTTTTCTTCTCATACACTGAATTGCCTGATGGATACTTCGCAAACTGATTTAATAATTGGGATTTTATGTCCAAATAGTACCATATATACCAGTGGTATACATATACAAACTGCAATGGGTGGTCCAAAGTGAAGACTGTCTATAATGTTATCTTGTCTATCAGGAAAGATTTACAACCTACAAAAGAAAGGAAAATATTATATATAGGCATGAGGTGATACATTCTAAATCTCTATATTGAAAGGTTAGGTTCATGGTAATGATAAACTTTGATTTTGCCTTCAGTAGCAGACACAGAGACTGTAAATGTATTTAGATTTTGACAATATATGGCTTCTGTCAAAGATTGACTTTCACTGAATGATAAGTTCCAGGCACAGTTCATACCTTTGACTTGTTTCATATCAAAGGAAACAGTTCCCACTTTCTGAATTCTGGCAGAATCCAAACAATGGAGGAAAATTGGAGGGTGATGATAAATTCATGGGTGTTAGGGGAATAGGTTGTCCCTGAGATCCATTTCTAAGGTTTTGTTCAGCACACATAATACAACAATAAAAAGATAAACACATTCAGGACGGACAATTTGAGAAAGAAAAGTTTTGTGTCTATAAAGATCACAAGCTGTTTGTGTCAAACTTTCTTTGGCCACTGCGGAATCACAATGAGTCAAAATGAACACTAGGGTTAAAGGTCACACATAAGAGGGGAGACAACTCTCCGATCGTATGGACTCTTGAGAATGTCTGTTAATTCCATGCTTTTTCTCAAATGTCTCTCTGGGCGTTAATCCTGTGTAATCCTTTTTATTGCTAGCACTATTGTCAGATTTGGGGGGAGGCCTTGTACCCCCTCTGTCTGGTGGGGTGTTCATTATGGGTGGGAATGATGAGGAGCGAGAGTATGCTAAATGGTTCGTCTTCTGCTCATCTGAAATAAAAAAAAAAATTGTTTTAAAAACATTGAAAATGCTTTTTCTGAAAATATTACATTTGAGTACATGTACTTTCATACATTATGCATTAATATAGAAAATAATCTATGTACTAAAACAATTAATTATGACTATTATGTAAGTGCAGAAAGAGGTGGAGATCCTGAATTGTTCGATTCCAGTGTATGTTGGAATAAATAGTGGAATAAAGTTACCATGGTTATATATGATATATACTGTGTATAAGAAATAGTCCCTCCTAAGAGGGTGTGTCTGTTTACCTGGTGCGTTACTATGGTGATTCATCTCGACATCACTCCCTCCTCGACCACTGTCACTGGCCGTCAAGTCCGTGGATGTGTCACTACTGCTGTCATGGGAACCTTTTAGCAGATTATTCTGTAAAAATATCAAAATTATGCGTTATACAGTAGACTATTCTGTAAAAATATCAATATTATCAGTAATATTTTAAAGATTTTTCTGTCAAGGTATGAAAATAATTCTGAATCATCATATTTAGCATATTAGACTGTGAAAATTTGTTAATAATATGAAATATTTTGCAGATTACCCTGTAAAAAATATGAAAGTAATTTGTAATATCTAGCATATTATTCTGTGAAAATATGAAAATAATCTGTAATTTTAAACTCTCTCATGCCCTCGCTTCAAAGTCTGATCAATTCAAAGCTCTGATAAAAGTATCTTCTAATTTTATTTTTGTTAGTGTTTTTTTTATCCAGATTTAATATATACAGAAAATTTTTTACAACCACGCTACATTTTCACATATTTGATGTTTGCTGGTTTTGATAAACCTTGTTAAAAAGATTTTTTTGGATTCAAAGAGCTTTTTTTAATCTACTTAACAAGACAGAACACATCAAATAAACAAAGAATTCTAATGAACTCTAAGGTTCTTTCTCATGAACAAATTAATTTGAAGCTAAAAAAGCTAAGAAGATAACAACTTGTAGATGTGGTATTTATCCAAGAAGATAGTCATGGAGGATGGTAATTTTAGAAAAACAGGGAGATATGGGGGGTTAATTATACATAGCCTCCCGGGCTAATTAGAAATGGAGGATATGATAGATCCCAGAGACAGGTGTCGTACCTTAGCTTTCAGATGAAGCAACTGACCATTACCGATTTAATGATATCAAAACACACCCTTCCCAGGCTAACATGTTAAAACTGATTGAAAAACATCTACCATTGTCAAGGTCATGCACGGAGAATCAAAGCCACATAGTCTCTATAATGCGTCTTGTGAATTTTATCGGTGCTTTACTGCACAGAGGTGTTAATGCCTGGCTTTCAGTTAGACAACATCTGCATCCTTTGTTACGATGACAACAAAATCTGCAATATGACCACCAGCAAATTATGGCAGCTACTTCATGAAATTAAAATTTCAAGGACAAGAATAACAATAGATATAATTCAGTCATTTTTTCTTCTCAGTTTTCAGTTCATTTAAATGGAATAGTACTCCAGAGAACTAATCAAGTGAAAGAGGATCCTTAGCGATTTAAGTCAATGTTCAATTCTTCTCTAAACGTGTAATGTATCATTTCAGTTTTTGATAGTCATAGATCACATTTCCCATGGATTTGTGACAACTAATTGAGAGGGCCGGGAGAGTTTGTTTGTTCATTTACCTGGCCTAATGTGATCATTACTGCTGCAAGATGACCATTTACATTGGACTAAAGAGGAGGGGCACAATGGAAAACCCTGCTGGAATCAGGGGACAGGTCAGGAATTATGGACTTTAATGGTCACCTAATTATAGGTGAAAATCAATACATCATTGCCCTAATTACCAGTTCTTAGCTGACCCTCACAAAATGACAAACCCAAAATGACAACTTCTGCTTCAGGAAGTCTCTCCTTTAGAATTTGTTTGTTTGAAATTTTTTAGTCACACAAAATGAAACTTTTTTGACCAAAAAAGTAATTCTTTAGAGTGGACTACTTGTGTATTTGAGCATAACGACAAAATCTGTACAAAGTTGAGGAAGAAAACGATTTGGAGAGGGAATGTTAACTTCAATATTCTTTACCAATATACTGCTTTAAATAGAATACAGGATGTATCAGAAAGTGACTTGATACCTTTCTGTCAGAGTTTGGGTTGATACGAATATCAGAAAGTGACTTGATACCTTTCTGTCAGAGTTTGGGTTGATAAGAATATCAGAAAGTGACTTGATACCTTTCTGTCAGAGTTTGGATTGATAAGGAACTGGCCGAACTGAAGCTGTTTTAATTTGTCCTCATCTGGTCCAGGTCGGAACACATTGTAATTCTGTAGGGAATTAAAAGGAAAATTTATTTTTTGTAATTTTAGATTAAACAAAGGCTTCACTATTTGTTAATTATTCAAAATGCACCTCACTTGAAGTCACTTCAGAGGTATTGCATATAAATTACTGCACACTGACAATGGAGATGACAACGCACTCTTTGTATTTGCACACTGCAGAGTCAGTTTTCATCTATCAATAATTCAAATATTTGAGAAAAAGGGTAGCTTAACTTTGATGACATACACTGTAAAAAATGCGCTTAGAAAATAAACACTTCCATTACGTGTTTTGACCTAAACATGTATAAGATTGTGTTTAACGGCTAAACACTTAGGTCTAAATGTGTGTTAGATTGTGTTTAACGGCTAAACACTTATGTCTAAACGTGTGTTATATCTAAATGATGTTAAGATTTAACACATGTTTAGATATAAGTGTTTAGAAATTGAACACTTTTCTGTGAAGTACAGAATTATCTTCCCGGAAATGACGCATATATATTCGAATGATAAATAGAGCGGTTATCGAAACAAAGGAAATCCCAATGTTAGCTAAAGAAGATGGATTAAAGGAAGTGAATGCTAATCAAAGTGATAACCATGAAGAGATTGTGAAATGCATTTAAACTGCAACATTACTGCGATAAAAGGTATGTTAACTATTATTTTTATTTTACATAAATTGACCAAGATGGGCTAAGTAAATAGACATGCGTTTGCACATGTAGTTGTAGATCAAGATTACCTTTGGTTATATATTGCATTCCTGAAATCTAGAAAGGAGTACATTATATATTAGAATATCAATAATATCTATAACAGTATCAATACTAAATAGTGGTTATATAGACGAGGTTCAATGAAAGTAAAACAATAATAGCTATCAAACATGTAAACAAAAAAGGTAATACAAATCCAGCCAGTGAGGAGCATATTTTGATAAATTTTGAATTTCTTTCTTACAGAATATGGTCCACATCGAACTTGAAAGCAGAAATACACGTATCAGAGAAACTGACTCTCCATGTCCACACTTCTTACTTTCTAGGGGAAACTGAGTTTTGTGAAGTCTGCTGTTCGTTATAGCTTTGAACAACCTAAAATATTCTCAAATAATAACAAGTGGATTACCTACTGACGGTCACAGATGAAAATAAATTATGCGTGTGTTGCTCAGTGAAAAATTGCTGGAAGTTAAACTTGATACAGACATGAGGAATAACTGCTTGCTAATCTGGTTAGAATTAAAACCAGCGTGTAAAAATATAATGTATATTTAATTTAAAATTCTTTATAAAAAATCCATGCTTGAATGTTCATTGAATAAAATTTAAAATGTAAACAATTGTTATTTTTTCAGTTTTCTTGCAGGAAGACAACGAAAACATCCAAGTGTTTAATTTGTAAACATGTATCATAACATGTTTTGTAAAGTGTTTAAAGTCTAAACATGTAAGTGTTTTGGCTCTAAACACTTTCCATTACACGTAATGAAATTCAATGTGTTTAGAATTTCAACGCATCCCAAAAAGTGTGACAAGAAAGTGCTTAGGAAAGTGTCTATCATCTAAACACATTTTTTACAGTGTATTGATTGAATTAATAATAATTGCCTTTTTATCAAGAAACAGAATTGTCAATATGTAAAGGTTAGAATGTCCTCTACGAGAGGATTGGTAATAAACTGAGTTTAAATTTTTCAGTCACATTCATTTCATTTTAATATGGTATGTTGTGAAATTACACTAGTAAATAATATTGTGAGAAATTGAAAATCCAGTCTATATTGTCACTAGTTAGAAAACAATTATCTAAAAAGTTTTTTCTTAAAGATTCACAGTTTTTCTCAATTAATGCACAGGCTAGTAAGTGGCAACTCTGAATGACATCTAAACAGAATAACCTCTATCACAATGGAAAAGAAACCTGAGAAATATGACTTTTTAAACTTTGACTAAAAAAATGTTGATCACAATTTTGACACAGCTAAACCAATTTAAAAAAAAATTCTTGATATTGGCATGTCACATCAAATCTTTGCATGAATGTCCGTTAGTCCATTGCATGAATCACCCACATGTAAAGAATCTCGCATTACCACTGGACTGGTCCTGACATACAGCATCAACTTACTGAGTTTAAATGAGACAAATTTTAATGAGGAAGGCCAAGCAATCAGACATTTAAATTTCTCAACACATTTCTATATCCTATTTCAGTAAAGACAATGGACTGTTAGAAAGCCTAAACCACAGTCCAGGACAAAAGACTTGACATAGAGGGGGGACAACAAAAACATAACCTATACCCTAAATCTGATACAAAATTAGTCATCGATTTATAATTTCTACTTAATAATATTAAAACCACATGTACAAAACTGTGTACAAAAATATGTTATTTTTGAAATGAAAAAAAATATGCTCAAATGTGAGAAAATTAACAGTTGGTGAGTTATATCTGCATTGACCGTTAACTAAGTCTTTTTGTCCAGGTCTGTTAGATAACTGTAAAAATCTGAAGATGACATTAAAAACCCATTTGTAGAAAGCATGTAATTTGTGGAGAATGGGAATTTTCTACATTGTTAGACTGTGTTGAAAATACACAAAAATCTGAGCATTTCCCCTGGGGTCAGTCTTTAACACACACAAATCTGTGTCAAATACGACAAAAGAAGTAAAGGATAACAGTGACTTATCCTGAAATCTTGTCATAATGACTAGAGAGTCCGCTAGATTTACATAACTGATAACATACAAAATTCAGTGTTAGGGTGTCAATACAGGGACATAGTACCACGACACACAGTTAACAGTCCAGAACAGGGAAGATACTATCACCAGGAGTTACAGTGGCTACTTCTCCCTATTATTGTATCCCATTTCTCTCACAAATTCTCACAAATACGGCCATTAACTGGGTTGCCGTGACTAAACGGTGGCGATTTAATTCAATTTTGCGAATAAATCATATCTCTATAAATAACAATTACCATATCTACCGTAAGTAGGTAAAGAGTTTAGCCATAAGACACATGCTATTTTGAATACCAATTTCATAAATGATTTTGACAATGTAGACACAAGGAAAAACAAATCTATTGAACACTATTTCTGATGCATGGGTAATGCTGTGTGACATGTACTAAGTCCCCTTAATGAAATATGTGTATATATTCTGTATAAGTTGGTATAAAGATTACTTGATCATCTACAATGGAATGGCCAGACATGTCCAGTGATTTGTCCAGTTCGTCTTCCAGTGAGAAGCTGACTTCCTTCTTCTTCTTCTTGCTGAGCTGCTCCGGGAAGGTGTGAGCCTGGTTCTGGTAGTATCGCTTGTCTATTCCCTGGAACTGCTGTAAGTTACGCAGCTTTTCCTGCTCGCACTTCTTCTCCCGATTCCGTCTGTCGTTACGTTTGATGATGATGATGACGGTGATAAGGACCGTAGAGAAGAAGATGGTGATGATGACTACAATGACGCAGATGACGACATATTTGCTGTTGGATTCCTCCTCAGAAAATGGTTCCATGGATACATTGGTGTGTGTGAGAGTTACTTCCAGCACACACAAAGACGAAAGAGATGGATCCCCTTGATCAGAAATGGAAATATTTAGTCTAAAAATGGAGTCTTTCTTAATAATGAATGTATTGTCATAGAAAAGTTCCCCCGAGTTAGGATCCAGTTTAAAAGTCTGATGGCCGTTTCCGCTGAGAATTCGGAAGCTGAGGTGACTATTTCTGCCGCTGTCTGCGTCGTAGGCCTGGACGGTCGTAATGAGGGAGCCTATTTTGGTTAAGTATGGAAGACTAACAGTGCGGTTATACTCATCAGGGAAAACACATTTTGGTGGATTGTCATTCACATCATCAACATGTACCCTCACATCTACATTTGTAGATAGAACTTGATTTCCCTGATCTCTTGCAGTCACCGTGAATGTATAGAATCTTTCTGCTTCATAATCCAGGGGTTTCTTTGTGAAAATGCTCCCATCACTTCTAATGTAAAATGAATCGGACTCATCATTCAATGTGTAAATAATCTGACCATTCAAGCCAGTGTCCAGATCCATGGCATAGACTGTGCCTACTTTAGTGTTGTTTAAGTTCTCTGGGACTTGAAAGTTAAACTGAGTAACATTGAATCTTGGCGTATTGTCATTCACATCTTGAACATTTACAATCAGCGTGGTGGATCCAGTAAGAGGGGGGTTTCCTTGATCCACGGCCAGGACTTTGACTGAGATCTGAGGGGTGGCCTCCCGGTCTAGGGGTCGAGTTGTGACAATAACACCAGTGGAGGTATCTATATCCAATCCATAATCTCCATCTAATGTATATCTAATCATTGCATTCACCCCGGAGTCCTTGTCTTTGGCGAGAACCTCTGTAACTCTTGTTCCTGGTGGTTTGTTCTCCTGGATGAACACCTGGTAGATTCTGGCGACAAACGCTGGTGCGTTGTCGTTATCATCCGCGATGTTAACAGTGAAGGAGAGGGTGGAGGACATGGAGGGGGTCCCTTTATCCTGACAGGTGACAGTAACAGGATACGACTTCACCGTCTCATAGTCCAGGGAGGACTTGACCACCACCAAATATCCACTGGATCCTATGGCCTGAAGTCCAAAAGCGGCATTTGATGAGGAACAGTCCACTTGCCCATTCTGGCCTGGGTCTGAATCGGATACTTTGATATGAGCTATGGAGACATCCTCCTTGGTTCCCTCTCTGACGCTTACAGAATGGCTGCCATTACCTCCCTCAAAGAAAGAGATTTCCATGGAGGGGGCATTATTTCCAGCATCTAGGACATTAATAATGACTTTGGCTTGGGATACTCGGGCTTCCGCACCATGATCAAAAGCTTCAATAAAGAATTCGTACAAGTTTTGCTCTCCATAATTCAATGCAGAAATCACTTGAATTTGTCCAGTCTGTGCATTGATACTGAATTTAGACTTGATAGCATCTAAATCAGACCTCATACTAAATCTATAGGAAACTCTTCCATTGTCCTGAATATCTTTATCAGTAGCAACACACTGTAAAATATTGGATCCAATGGTGATATTTTCTTGGACTGATACATTGTAAGTAGTTTGGGTAAACACTGGTGAGTTATCGTTAATATCCTCAATATCTACATGAACAGTAAGAACCCCGACATTGGGAGTGGAACCTCCATCCAAAGCCCGAATGTTAAACTGGTAGTAGTCCTGCACTTCTCTGTCAAAGATCTGCTTTATAACAACCCTGATAAAGAAGCTTCCATCTAAAGACTTTGTCACATCTAGTTCGAAAGGTCCATTTTTTGGTACTATCTCATACATCTGGACGGAGTTGATCCCGACATCTTTGTCCGTGGCGCTGGGTATCTTGTACGAGGTTCCAATGCTGCTATGTTCAGGAATACTCAAACGCATAGAAGAGGGCTCAAAAATTGGAGAATTGTCATTTGTGTCTTGAATTATTATTTGAACAGAGAAAATTTTTGTGTAAGAGAATACTTTGGACCTCACGGTAACAGTTAAATCCCTCGTACAATCTTCTTGGAAGTCACAGATACTCTCGCGATCTATCGATGTGTTTGTCCGAAGGTCACCAGAAATGACTCCTATGTCAAACAAGTTGTCAGGATTGGCCAAAAACTGGTACCTCAGAGAATCAAACTGGTCTTTTGAAAGATTTGCGGCTAGATTGAATGCATTCGGTATGCTTCCTACAGTGTGAAGTCGGGGAATCCCTTCCTTAATTGTGAAAGTCACGAGATTCTGAGCAACAGCTTCAGCAAAAAGGCACAATAGAATGAACAGAGAAGCCATGGTCGTCAATCTTCTATCTTGTCATTTCTGAAACGAGAAAAAAACACTGTAAGTTTCTCTATGAATCAAATGATTTGATGATACAACAAGTTAAAAATCCTTCTTCAGAATTTTTTTTGAAAACAAAATGTTAGGGAAATACCCAGTGGAGATAAGTCCGACTAAAGTGAAGTCAACCTGCCTAAGAACCTGAGTGACACTCTGTACAGACAAGAGTTAATGAGCTGATGGGCCTTCCTGCTGATCTGACTGAGACAAACCAGTGAACATTAGCATGGCCACATGTTACACTGGACACAATAGGGGCGAGTGTCTCAATATACCTGGGCCCAGGTGTAGAGTTGGCCAGGTAGAGCCACACTGATACCATCTAAACCCACAACTGATGAGTTTGATTGAATAATGCTTCTCCATTGATCAGCTCTGATCACAATCCAATTGCTCTTAATTGATTTAAAAGATTAAAAAATCTTAGTTGGTGGTATAAACAATTCCTGAACATTTCTTTAAAACACCTGTGCACCAGTATCTGTCTGCAGTTCCTCCTGATGTGAAAATCTAAGCCTTCCTTTGTTTTCATGTGCTGTGGGAATTATAAATTTTATTCTTCAATAATTAATGAATAATCAATTCCTTTTCATTGACCACCTAGACTATGCATGGTCATTGACACTGCTGTAAAGCAGGGAATTTCAATTTTATGGCAAATTTACCCAAGTGAACTAGCTCTATTCATGATATCATAATTATGAAAAGTAGAATTTTTCCAGCTGTCACAGCCTAATTATACTTAACTACTGTTAATCCTAATGGATAAAAAGTTACTGAATTATCTGTTTTTATTTTATTGTTAATTATTTCCATATAAGACTAATATTAAAAGAATTATGGTCAGACATCTTTTTGACCATCATCCAAATCTGACCACTCAGTATTTTCTTACTATTTTACCAGACAATGGAAGACAAACACAATATTTATCTTCCCGGGAGAGACATTTTATCCTTTTGTTGTCAGTAGAAAATTTGAAACTTATTGGAATATTGTCCCCCTGAATTAAAAATGGTCTGCTCAACGAGGAGTCCTTGCTACCGGTGCGAGTCAATATTAACTTTTCCCTGAAGTACCCCCCTTCTGCTCCTAAGTGGCTACGGTCCCCCCACCATCCCTCTCCTAGGGGCGTCCAGGCATTTAATAATCTCTTTATTCTACACTTCATGCTTATTGTTTATTTACAAATTTTCCCTGAAGATGTGTTGGTCAACATCATCCTTTGTCCACCTAATGACCACAAACGGGACATTCTCACACCAGAGTACTGCAAGGCATTCATGACTAAACACTGTTTACGTATAAAAACAAAAATATAATATTCTATTAAAAGGGAACAATCTCTCCTCTGATAATATTTTATTATTTAATCTTAATCTAAATGAAGTTGACAAACACATTTGTGTGAAATTAAAAATTCATGTCTTAATTCGTAGTGTTTAAAATGTAATTAAAATTCTATTTAAAATCAAATGTGCATGTAATTAAAAGGGCTTTGGTAAAAAGCAGGAACATAAACTCTCGAGTTTTACTCTGGATTATGTCAGTTCCTGGAGTATTTTTTCTCCTTTTGGTTCCCTGACCTTACTAAATGACCCTTGATTTGACCCCTGGCCTATTGCTGTCCATACCATAGAACATTAATTCACCATAAGTCACAAAAATGACAATCCTGTCAGGGCCCTTGGGGACCAGCGACCATTTATCAGCCCTGTCAGGCCACCAGAACATTAATTGATACTTATGGTCACACAATTCAATTACTGCACTGCCCATTACACAACAGACATCTCATCACAAAGTGCATGTACATTCCACTTCCCACTACATAGGGGAAGTAACCCTTTCTGCACCTTCCCTTTTCAAATCCAGGGAACAATTCCATGTTCAATAACTTTGTGACTTCCAAAAAGATTTTTTTCAATAAATCAGGACAAAATATTTGACAAAAAATGTGTAAAAATAGTTAGGAAAAAAGCTTTTTCACAGATCTTCATAGTGTTAAACAAATAAATACAATAAACATCTGTGTACCATAAATTTTATCTCTTTAAATAACCATACTATACCATGTTCATAAAAGAAAAAAAAATTAATAAAATGATTTTTACCTTTGATATTTCCCTAGATTTTTTTTTCACTTTGATATTAAAAAAATTCCAAGTTAAAATATTCCCGATCACTGCTTGATAAACCTACGTAGCACTAAAGAAATTCATTATGAAGATGTATCCCTCAACTAGGATGATAAATAAGGTCCATACTTGAACCAACACAGGTAAAAACAAAAGATCTTTTGGTCTATATAACAGTCATTAAATCTTCCCTCCTCTCTCTGAGCTGGCGACTCACTGATCCATTCCCATCATCCATCACTCCTAACGTAAAGAATCGCTCCATCCTCGATTTGTAATTTCCTCAAATATCCGCTAAATTTTTAATTTCATTGTAGTATTTTTTTCTTTCACATATTGGAAAATAGACCCAAAATGCTTAATTCTTCCTTATTGAAGTTTCAAATAAATTATTTCTATCTACCAAATATTGACCATTACTTAAACTAATGAAAGAATGAAAATTTTAAAAATTCCTGTTATATGACATAAATAATGACTGCACTGATTATAAAGTAGCAACCCTAGATACCTTTCTCTCCATATTGCCCAGAGACCAAACACCCCTTGTTAATTCAAACTCATACAGATAAGATAGAGATTGAGGCCCATTGTCAATACAGGCTTAATGATATCAAAGCTGGACCCTGGCAATGGCGAAATATGGGGATTTGTAATAAATTGTCCCTCCATTAATAGCTTGATTCAAATTCTGCCAAACTTTGAATGAGGGCCCAATATGGCACCAATAAATGCCCCTAATATCAGCCCATTTATAATTCTATCCAAATATACAGACTACAACTTTTTATGATATTGACAAAGCCTAAGTTTCAATGCTATGATAAAAGATAACTCACCCCCATAAAAGAGGAGACCACTCTATCCGATAAAATCTTCACAAAATATCTTAAAAGGGGAAATAACTTCAGAGAATTCCCACCTTTTGTTATTGTTACTGCAGCAATTAAAGCCCAGTGTTAATTGCCCGAGCTGTCACAGGTTGACGCAGTTCCATCCCCTTGAAGTAAAACCCTAGCTTTACGACATGCAGGTGAGGATGGGACAAACAGTCCGTTACACTGACCAACGGCCATAATCTTCACACCAGTAGCTTTAACGACACATCGTACATCTTAATAATTCTCTCTAAAGGACGCTCCAAACAAACACTTCATCAAATCATAATCAGCCCTATCAAAACCTCACAACAAAGGCACTTCAAAACCATTGTAATACAGTACACACTCATACTGAATCTGAAGCATACAGTACCTATGATTTATAACAGTGTAAAAATAATACTGTCCATGGACATGAAAGTCCTGCATCAAAAGGAACGTGCATTTAGTGGTTCAGTATGTATATATGTAAAGACTATATATACATGTATGAAGGAATTTCTTTTGGTCATTTCTTTTGATTTTATATTGAATTTAAAAAAAAATCATGTGATATATATCTTTTAAAACCACCCAATAAAAAAGGAAAATAAATAATTCTTTATACATGTATAAAATCACGTTATTCATGAATCTTATTGATAAAATAGAATTAAACAAATAAAATATTAATTAATATTCATAAATGAATACAATTTTAAATGTTATTCTTTAATTTAGAAATTGATTTTTTTTATTTTGAAAATTAACATAAATCAGTTTGAAAATATTTTTCTCATATTTTCTCTATAGTCTAGTGTTACTTTAAAGAAGCTAATTATCATGAAAATTTTTATTTTTCAATGAAAAAGAATTAGAGATATATTTTTCTCCATTTCTGATAAATGAACATTCAAAAACAATAAACATTATAAAACAAAATCTCTATAAAAACTTCAAGTTTAAAATAAACTTGACATATTTTATGTTATAAGCATAATCACTAAAAAATTACTATACCTTTAAATTCTGTAAAATTTCCCAAAAAAGCTGGTGAAGTGAGGAGCGAAACAGAAACAAATGAGCCAGTACTAGTGGAAGCTGTCCCATAATTCATAGCAGTTAACGGAGAACTGACAATGTGACAGCTCAGTGATGAAGCTACATAGTCAGGTGTGTGAAATAGGTCATCAGATCTGACCCTCATTAACAACCGCTTCTTATAAATGAATACATAACACTAAGGACAAGAAAAGACCAGAAAACTTAAACCACTGTCCCTCAATCTGCATGGAGCTTTATTAGAATTACACAACATTTTGAAGTAAGGCGTTAGATTGGAACTGTTTAGTCCTTAATTCTACATTAGGTGAGAAAATGATTAGGATTTTACACACTTCCAGTTATAAATTAAAAACAGGGAATTCTAGGGACCTAACTGAGATTAAAGGTAAATTTTTCTCCAATTAGGCCTATCTAATTCTACAAATGTGTTATAAACTCACCTTACCAGAGGATCACCTACAAAAAGCCATCAGCTTATACCGCGCTCCACAGGTGACTAAAAGATATTCCAGGTAGGAATCAACACCTTACAACTCCCCCCAAAAATAAGACACTGAATAGAGTCTACATCCCAGACATCATGTAATCAAGTGTGCACAAAAATTCAAAATCTGCATGTTGACTTCTCTGTCAGATAATACAGGGGCACTAATTACCTGTACATGTGACATCTGCAAACAAGTCTAATAAAACTGCCAGACCCCTCTCTCCCCCTAAATGGTCAGTCACAAAGAACAAGATAGCTTAATTAATTAGTCAGCCATCGTAAACAACAGTTATAAGTAGGTAAATAACTGTTTTATAAAACAGGAGAATGGGAAATAAAGGCTGTCATAAGCCTCCCCCATACAATCCAGCATCATATAGAAATCATAAACACGCGATCGTTAACATATTTTTAAATGATAATTTTCATTATGTGGTTTAATAAACCATAAATATCTTGTTCTCAACACAATCAGACAGGATAATAAAGGGTCGTAAAGATTAAATCTTATTTAATTTCAATTTTTTCATCATAAAATTCTAATGAAGAATATCATTAAGATAAAAATAAAAACATCTTTCCTAGGATTTTGAATATTTAAAATCACATCTCGGAAAAAAATAAAAAGAAATTCATATATCCTTTTGTTTACAATTCTTAAATCAAAATCTCAACTCACCAAGCAAGCAACTGTTTCTTTTGAAGAATCAAGAAATAAGAATTCCATAACTTTTCAGAGACTTTTTATGTAGAAGATCTAAGACTTTGAAGATTGCATCAAACCCTGCCAAGTGGCTTCGGTCCCTGTGTGCGCTGTTTGATTGAACACTTCACACCTATAGCACACCTGAGATTAGCCTGCTAAACATATCTGTTGTTTTTTCAATGATTGGTAAATAAACATAGATAACCTGTAATCAAAGCTTCACACTGGTCACAATGATGTCTATGATAACATTATACAGACATCAAAGCCGTCGGACGGGCCGTGATGAAGACCTCTCACCTGTATCTTACCTGTATCAGGACTGATTTACTGAACACACAAAGCCTCTTGTTTCCTTGTTACAAGATCTCCCAAAAACCTGATGAAACTTTATCATATGGTAATCCTCAAAACTATGCCACAGAATCCAAGAACGACTTTATCTTTTATCACCAAAATTCACAAGTTTTAGCATCATACACTAGCTATAAGGTACTTGATCAGGGTAAATGCCTGTAAGTTTCTGTGGCTATTTTAGAAGTTCTGCGGCCGGGTCCCAGCCAGAAGCCCGTGTTCCACTTAAAAAGTGTCCTGTAGCTTAAGCTGATGACAGTGGACGCCAGTCACTTCATTATTATGTCAGCTACTCTCCTTATTAAGGAGGTCAATATTTGTTTAAAATCTTCAACGAGTTTACCTACACTGTGTAATGACAAGGTATTCCAGATATAGAGATTACAGGCCTCTTCTCTCTGTGGGTATGTACAGAGATCAAATAGTCAACATTCAAGTCCAAAGCCAGGTCTCATTAGTCAAAATTATCTTCTTTTTAAAAAATGACCACTAGGCACTTACTATTCTAGACCCAAAAATCTGAGACCATAAGTAAAAAGAAGCATAAAATGGCAATTTATGACTATTTGAATAGATAAATATTTGCAAATCTAATTTATCAAATTTTAAATACATGTCTCAAAGAGAAAACTTTCACAGAACTTGAGATGGAATTTTTTTTTCTCACAGCAAATGAAAAGGTTTGCTATAATTTAAAATATGCAGCAATGATGAGAAAGTTTTGACCTGATAGGGAGCATTTGGGTGTCTTCTTCTGATTCAAATTGGCCCGTCCAATGTTTGCCCAAGGATATACCTAAATCCCTATGTAGAGATCATTTTTCAAAATCTTAAATCATTTCAAAACATCAAATATATTTATAATACAGTTTTAATCGGAGACATTTTTTCAAGTTTAACTTGTCTTTGGTGTGAGAGCTTGCCAATTAAATGAAAGCGGTAAGTAAATATTGACGAGTTGATCCCAGAAATAAAAGGAGGAGGGTCAATATTTGGCGGGATAAAAGAAAAAAGGTTTGTAACAAACTGATCTCTTTAAATCTCCGAGCAAACTTGTCACAGGAAATCGTCCAATGGGAATGCTTCCCTTTACAAACACAATCAGTACTTGTCATAACTGAAGGATGACAGAAGTTTGGGGGAAGAGTCAGGTTTCTAAGTTTACAAGAAGACCCAGGAGTAAAAAGAAAACTTTTGGCTTATACCCCTCTTAGGAGTTTTCTCAATAAATACTTCAAGTTTTTACCACTTGACGAAACATACAATTAATAGACAGGCATTTTTTTAATGCACTCGCTAAATATCTCAAATGCCGTTTTTCTAATAAGGCTAATGATTACATCAAAAGAACAACATGGACTTTTATCTCTGTAGAGGTTGTCTAATTATCAAAAATAAATAAGATCGTATTTCACTTCTAAATTTACCTCCGCATGAATAAATGCTTTTAATGTCGTACTTTATACATTATCATGGTAGAGAAAATGAAAACTCCCAGAATTAATGTCTAATATCTTCTTAATGACCTGCCCTCTTACTTTAAGGAAAATTAACAGATTAAATGAAGAACTTTCTTCTAATGAAAAATAAAGAATTTATATTTACCTGAGAAACAAAAACTCCTAAGTGTACTTTATATACAAACTGTGTACCGTCTGAACATAAATGAAAAATTTGTATTTACACGTAGGAAAAAAACAAGAAAGTCAAGAGTGACTCTTGAAATTTTAACGTCTGCGTTATCTCCTGAATGATCACTTTACGTAGAAGATGGTGTAAAATGACTGCATACTGACCCCAGGGAAACACTCTTGTCTTTGATGCTTCATTTTAAACTCATCAAGCGAAATGACTCCATCTCCAGGACCACTTAGGAGAAAATATTCTGAACCTGATAATTCTCAAGAGTATATTCGGAGGTTACTAAAATGTAATCTCTAAGATTTCTCTCCTCAGAACCCATTCCCACCCTTACCTTACGGACATCCAGAAATAGAAGGTGAACCCAGGTAACTATTAAGATCCAAATAACGCAATCAGCGTGGTCATTAAAAATGAATTTAAAAATAATGTAACATGCAGATTGTTCCGTTAAATGTAATGCACCTTAAGACACTCCCCTATATATATTCGAAGAGGACATCACGCTTTGTTAGTTTTCTCCACTCAATGACTTTAAAAATACCCCAATTTTATTTTTAATGAAAAAATAATGAGAAAGAAGAGTCAAAATAAGCAATCGCGACCTGACATTTCTAATAAAACTTTGGTAAGTTACATGACAACTTTAATCCCCTACCTTTGTATACCCTATACCTTCTAACCACTGGATCTATTGCATGAACTACTGGGTTAATCCCAGGAAGATGCCGCGGTATATTGGAAGTCCTCGGACCTAGTGTAACAAATCCCATAATATAGAGTTGCAGATTTTAATACAATTTAAGGGACCTCCCACTGCATCGAATAATTGGAAGAGAAGCAACCTAATATGCTGCTATCGGACAAATCATGGACTGACGGCTCATTGACTAAATACACAGGCATCCGTGGACCTAAAGTTTACCCCTTATCTACCCCAAAAGATTTTATCCCCTATCTGATTGTTGTTAAATTTTTCACTGATTCCCAACAATAAAAAACAGAAACTTTAATTGAAAGCATGCAAGAAAATCATTGAGATAATTGATTTATCCTGAGATTATAGTGATGTGGAGATATTTGCATTAGACACCCCCTATTAAAGCTGCTATTGTTTTGCCTTTGAGAAAGTCATTTTCTGCTCCCTAAACCCAAACGTTCCTCTGACCATTTGACCCATGCTAAGAGCACATCAGTTCTCAATGAGTTTTCCCTTCATCTTCTAATGTAAACTTCTTTACTTTTCACATGAGCAATATTGTAAGAACACAGACTAATTCAACACTACCACATGCATTGTCATAAATAGATAACAAATGCTGAAAAGTGATTACTTTTGTAAGCACAAAGGGGGCCAAACTTCTGAGCAAATGATGTATTAGATTTCAGTGTTTGTTTTTGTGAATTGTTATTGGGGGTTGGATGCTAATTTTCTATGAGTGACTATGATGTATGGATATGAAACAGCTTGGTCCACAAAGCCACTGGAGTGGTTATAGCATTGTAACTAAACAGCTGCCAGGCAGCAGCCAAAATAAAATAAAACAGTGCCTTATCTAAACAAAAACAGGTCCAATAAATAAATAAAATTATAAGAAAAAATTATGCGATACCTTTGAGTAAAATAATTTAGAAAACTTACTTCATACAATGTAATTCATCCATGTACTCCAGAACTGTGAAGGAAAATAAGATTTTCTAACAAACTTAGTCACACCAATTGTGTTTAATGTGCTGGAAATTAATTTTAATGTGTTCAGCCTACACGATAAAACTATTAAACAAATCCCCCTTCTATAAAACCATCATGTACTACATCCTAATTACTCGTGTCCAAATGATCTGCGGGCTAGCCCTATCTATCAGATAAGGAAATCTCATTTTTCACTCTCAAAAATCCAGATTTTTCAGAAAACTAGATTCTATAGTGAAGTACCTCAGGCCAGAGGTTGACATGCTTGAGAAAAAGCCATTTCTCAATTTCAAAGGAACCACCTCACTGAACAGGTTTGGAATAATCTATAAGATAAACTCTGAACATGTTTACCAAATCTTGTCATCATTTGATGAATACTTTTTTGGCCTCTTGTTAATATGGTGATATCAGTAAGTATGCAGGCATGCTTTCTAAAACTTGTAGCCTCTGACATCAAAGGATCCATTGTCTACAGGGGGACTCTCTACAGCATACAGGACAAATTCTGATTTCATAGAATTATCTACAGAGCAATCAAAAATTAAATGTGTCTTGATCTCCAAAAATAATTTTCCCTAACTACTTCAATCTGGACATATGCTTTATAATCTTAATAATTATCTTTTTCTAAGGTTTTTATGATTTAAAGAAATTGAAATCCTACTGATACAGAACATATTATCACAAAAAAAATCTTGATAAATTTTTTATCATAATTTTAATTTATTAGTTAAGATTTCTGAAAATAAATTATAAACAGAATAGAAAAATGTGTGTAAATTTTTCTCTTCCTGTACTGGTGCCTTAATTTCTTCCTTCATATTGTGAGGAAGCATTTTTCTCTTTATAATCCTTTAACCTTATAGATCTTTACCATGCTAAACACCAATTCTTCAACATGTGTATATATTTTTTTTCCTTCAATTTTTTAAAATTCTGATTACAATTAATAATACATTTAACATTTTTTATTCTTTATTCTAAAACTCAATTAAATTGTTAACTTAGCTAAATTGAAAGAAATAATATTTCTTGCAGAAAGGGACTTTTCAAACTTTTCAGCAATTAGTATGGCTACACTTCTACAAATTTACGATGTCAAAAGCCGTCATCGATATGGTCTGTTCATTAGTGTATTCATGATACTTGTCAACAGACCACAAATCAACCATAAACACCACCATGTGTTAACTGTTTAAAAAGTATGCCATAAACCTCACTATATACCACAAACTTCTACCCAGATCCCCCTCCTGTGGTCTATTAAATACCAATTTCTTAGGCTCACTCAGTAATCATGTTTTCTCTGTTAATGACACTCTTCTCTTACAAGAACTTGTCATTAGAATTAGTAGCCTCATTATTCATGAATAATGTTGAGAGATGCGTTACAGCTCCTGGGATAATTCATTAACTCTCACCTCCAACCCACCATCAATCATGCACAGTTGATGAGGTGCCAAGGTTAATTAAACATTAATTATGGACTTAAAAAAAGATTAAAAATCTAATGATGGAGGACTTGCCACTTCCATTCTTTTCATGATATTCAAAATTTTACAATATACACATGTAAATGATTTCTGTTTTTCTAAAATAAAAACTCACCAAAAAAAAATGAAATAAATTCCCACATTTAAATTAAGCAGTTTTCATACGAATCTGCATGGTGCTTTTTGTAGGACTGAAACTTTTAAAACCTGTTACAGTTTCTTCCCATAATAACTTCCTATAAAACAAAGGCTTTTTCTTCTATAGCTGAACTCATCAGTAGGTGGTACAATACCGTTCATATTATATTTCTTGTTTCTCTATGAATCTGATTGGGCAGACCGCTTCATGTATTCAAGTTTACATAATGAGAGCACGGAGGTTTAAAGCTACTTCATTATCTACTCCGCATCTCTGATTAAAATCGGTGCTGACAAGTTTATTCTTAAGATTGTCTAAATATTAAAAAACAATGTCAAGCAATGTGTACTACATCTGAAATATTTGTGACCCAGTATATAAACACAAACAGGAACACAGCCATTTAAGTTCTTTGTGATCGATTGTGTTCAAATTCAGCCCAGGCCGGTATCTTTTACGGAGGTAAAACAATAATTTGGGAGACAGGATACTGTTCCGTTACAAAAACTCTGAACATCTCTAAACAAATTAACGGCAACCCTTTATAATCAGAACAAAGACATAATGGAAAAAGAAGCTGTCTATATGGACCAAATTTTGAAAATATTGATGCAAGTTCAAATATGTATGTGGTTTAACAAAGAAGTCTAGTAAGATGTAGATATACTGAAAAACAAAACAAATAGAGGGATATTTTATTTTCAGAATCTGTTGTCATTAAGCTAAGGAACAAGAATTTACAAGTTATAGTCTTACTGTTCAATAATATTCCAGTGATAATTAATTTGTGTTTAGGAAATTTTTCAAGTTTGGTCTATTCTAATACTATATGGTCATATTATTATATATTTATTCAGTGAAGTAAGTTTGCTTGGTGCTCATGGTGAGTGAAATGATATTTCCTTCAAAATAACCAAATGCTTTAAACATTACCAGGTAGATCCTTCATAGGATAATGGCAATGAGATAAATGAAAATCAATATTTGTCATATCAAATTTTTTTTTAACAATAATGGCTCACAAGTTCCCCTTCAATTTTCATTAAATTTTCAGTCAAAGTTTGCAATAGTAATTTAATAACAACATATTTTCATTTCAGAATTAAAAATGGGTGTATTTTACGTAGAGAGTGAACAATGTAATGGTTTTAAAAAAAGGGATATTTTTTACCCAATATTTAAGATAAATTAGGATTATTGATTTTGACGATTCCATGATACAACCTTACAACCATCTGCAAAATTACCAGGTACCCCGATACAATTCATTAGACCATAAAAATAAAGAGACTAAAACTGTTTTCAAGGTAACGCATGACAAAGACTGAACAGGTAGACGATGCCGTCCACAAAATGTCCCATGATGCCTGCCTCTATGAATTGTTTTCTTGTGTAAATGATCAACTTCAGTCAGGCAAGGTTCCTGGCACTGTGTCTTGTCAGCCATGCTTGACTAGGAAGACATTCTGATGGAAAATAATGCTCTTAAACCAAACATATTAATTAATAATTCAAGTCCAGTTTCAAGAAATCTTCCGACACACGTACACAACAAAAAGGTGAAAGTACCCAATTACGGGGACACCAGTGCTGGGTGAGAAGGTTAATTAATGTAGAAGGCCTCCAATTAGTCATTAGGCATATCAGCATTTAAAAATACAAAAAAAATAAGATGCATTTATAAAGTGAAATTGTGACTGCATTTCATTTTCAATTTTTTTTTTTTAATATTTGACTTCTAGCTCATTTGCAAGATTTTACTTTCCAACTCTGACATTAGTATAAAGGTGATATAAAAATAATGCATGCTCATAGGTACCCTAAAATATTCCGGAAACGATAAAAATACAAATACTGGGATCAATATCGGAAATGAAAACAAAACAAAAAAGAAAGCAAAAAAATTTTGGAGATAAAAACTGTCAGAAATGCAATGCAAAATTCCAGAAATAAAATACCACTGAAATTGAAATATATTTAAGAGCATAAGCAGCCAATTTCATTTCACATACCCTCCTAGATAAAATTTAGACTGGATATAAGTTTTATGAGAAATGATTGTTAAACATTTAGAAAATTAGCCTTGTAAGAACATCTAGCCTTGTAGTGAGATTATTCGTAATGTCCTCAGAAGAGTGTTAACATGATAAACTACTGGATATCCTTCCATCTTCTCCTGAGAAATACTTTCTTCATGTAAAAAAAATCTTTTAAATTTGATAAAAAAAATAGGTTTGAAAGAAAAGAAAAATAAATATTTGTGTATTACAGAGTATTTTAGAACGTTGCAATGCAGTGAAATACATGTACATTTTTTAACATTTTTAACATAGGCACATCCTAATTTATGACATATTGCTCTGTCCTTGAAGAGTTACCCCCCTTTACATAAAATAAAAAAAAATCAGTCCTTAAAAAAATCTGGTTAAAAAAAGTATTCAGTGGTTATTCTATTCCTATAAATGATGAAATAAATCTTTCCTTTGCAGCATTTACCAATATTACTGATAATGTTATCTTTAAAAAATTTGCTTGTTCCTATAGATTCAATCTTCATTGCTTATTTTCTGCTTGGGGAATTTAGTTTTTGAGAATTTCTCTTAAGGAATCCTTTTCTTTTCTTAAATGCTTTAAATTGCAATTAGAGCATTTTACATCAGAAGAATATATAAGGTCAAGAAATTAGGTACCAATAGGGGTAAAATACCTTAAGGTAGGATTCTTCTCATATTTCTAATATTTAAAAATTAAAGAAATTTTCACAGAATCAAGAAGACAATATCAGTGAGTGATAGTATCAGTGAAATTAAATCTGACCGTTTTATATTTGAGGCAAGGTCAGCTCAAGGTCATTATCTTTTTCCTTGACATTAAGAATAAAAAATAACTGGTTGCCAATCATGTGATACCTACTTCTATTTCAAAAGTTTAATGATTGTTCTTTTTGCATAAAAACATTTTACTATATCAGGTTTATAGCATGATATAACCAAATTTACATAAATAATTTAACTTAACTGGATATTGGCTAATCCGAATTTTCTCTGTTTTTCTTGATTTTTAAGGATATATTAGTTATTTTCATATGCTTCCTATATTTAACTTTTTCTTATTTTCACATATAATAAAGCAGTCATATAAATGTACAAAATAATACAAAAACAAACAGTTTTGATCGTTTACTAAGAGAGAAAAAATACTTTTTATGGATTTTTGGCTCAAATCTGCACTTTGATAGGAAGTGTTTTAAAGCTGATAAAGTGCTAGTTTGTTTGAAAAATCATATTTATTTGATATATTTTGAAAGTTTAGTCCCTCATTATTAATCTAACTTACATTTGAAAATTTCTCCAAGACTTCGATTGTGTAAAAATTATAACTAAATTTATTGTTCTATTATAATTTTGAGATGCAGAAAAGAAGATATTTTCATAAGCCACCATTCCGCCAAAAATATAGTTCCTGCTAGTTTACAAATGCAGTTTACCATTTCTATTT